TGTTGGTGTTGTTGGTTTCCGTGAAACCTAGAGCTCCAACTACGTACCTTCGAAACTCGAAGGTGGCACTGGGATGGGTGCGGCTCCAAAGACCTGCCAGGAGGCACCTATAGAGCCCCCAAAAGGGTTTGTGAAACCCAAAGCGAAACAAAGCTAGTCTACTGTAACTCACGTCATGACACCTGAAGTCGGCTCCATCATCCGTACACAAGAAACACCTAGAAAAGCAAACAATCATACACACATGCTCCGATTGATATGGACGCTGAAGAACGGCGAGGACCTGATCCAATCGTCGCGACAAGATGCCAAGACCTTGGCCAAGCTGTGTAGGCCGGGATGACGCTCGACGTCACAAAACGAACCGGCCAATGCTCAGGATGAAATGGTATTTGATTTGGATGTCTTTCAGGTAAGTACTGTATGGTGCGTGTTTGATTTTGGTGTTGGATTTGGTTCGAGCTGTTTGAGCGTGCTTTGAAGCAGACTGGGACTGTCAAACCACGCTCACCATGGAGCCGTTTCCTTTTAAAGTCAGATACAAATTCTCAGCCACCTTGTTGATTCTCTCCACAAACACCTTACCCTCGCTCCCTCGTCTCTTTCCGCCAGTGCGGCCTATGACGAGGGCGCAGCCTGCAAGCAGTTCTTGGCTGATGCAGAGGAAGCCGTCCTGGCCTTGGCCAAAGAGTGGCCTGGAGCGAAGCGTTTCGCGTTGAGCCGTTGGCGTTGGCGGAGTCAGCGCGGAGCCGGCCCGATAGGCGGAGTCGTCGCGGGGAACGGGGCGATGAAGAGACATTCCTTGGGGTGGTTGTGTGATGTGTTTGTGCTATTGACGGTTGATGACGGTTGGTTATTGCTACACTCAGACCTACTGATATGGGGGTGAACAATTGCCTGGAGCAATGTTCCTCTACAAACAGGGTGCTTCAGTGCTTTCCAACTTTTATCACATTGAGTCGGAGTGTATTGGACATGGTGTTCCTTTATGCATGCTTCAAGTAAACAACTCAAACGACATGGTCGGTGGCATCGAAGGATTTTGAAGTCTAGTTACAAGAGCTCCAGAACAGCAGAACACCCGGAGGCAATCATGGGGAGAGGGGAGCGAAGAAGCCCAGTGGCGCCCAAAGCAACCTGAGAAGCAGATAGTGCCTCTACCGCTGCACAGGCGTGCACACGCGTGCACACGCGTGCACACGCTGTCTCTTGCAGGTTGGAGGAGCAGTGGGACAAATCCAAAGCCCAAAGCTGCAGTGAATCTTTCGCTGAGCTGGTCCAGGACGGGAAAGTTGTGTGCTTCTGCATTCGGCTTTCTCAGCCGCAAAAGCTTGGGTTTTGAGATGCAAGGGTTGAAGATGCCTAACTGTTCCTGGCCCAACCATAAACAATCGTAGGGGACAATTAATATTACCCATGAGTCATAATTACCACAGTATGCAGTTTGCAACGGTATTTAGAACTGTGGTTGTGCAAACCATGCTTCCATCAGCTTTCAAACCAGCATGAAACCATGCACTTCGCTCATGGCTCAAGAAATGTCCGTTCGAGGGCGACATGTTTTCGCTCTAACATCAGGTTATGAGCCCAAGTCCACCTCATTTTTGAGTTGTTGGCTCCCATGTCGGATTTCATGCGCCGGCGCCGCGCCTCGAGAGATCGACCTGAGAAGGTCAAGGATCCTCATGACCGACCTGGTCAATTGAGGGTCGGAGCGGCAGACGAAAGGCTGGACTCCCTCCTTGAAGAGGAAGCCAGGACTGCAAGAGCATCATCCATGCCACCCAGATCTGCAGCTGTGCGGCGGCTGGCGGCCGATGCTCGCGGCGATGCACGGGCGACTTCTTCGACAACGGCAGCAACTCAGGATCGAAGCCGGGCGGATAGAAACTCGGCTCAAGAGGGTGGCAACGGTTGGAGGTTGGCTCCAGGGCAAGATGGGTGGTCAGAGACGGTGCGGCAATCCCTAGAAGTGTTGCAAAGGGCTTTCGGTCCTGCCGGACAAGGGTCGGGAACCTACACGGCACCTCCACCATCACAGAGCCTGTTGGGACCACTCTTTCAAGAACCACCTCATGGGGGGCAAGTGGGCATGATGTCATCGCCTCAACTACCAGTGCATCCTGGGGGAGAACACACTGGGCAAAGCGGTGGCCTTGGTCCGCGGCCTCGAGATCTTGACCCTTACTTCATTTCCACACCTCCTCAACAGAGTCAGGGCAATGTCAATCCTTTTTGGAGTGACCCTGGTCGAAGAGAGGCACCAGGAAGTCGCACTGAGCCGGAACAGCCCCGACCTGGAGATAGAAGGAGTCCAACGCAGCAAGAAGTTGAAGCAGTTCGAGAAAGAGTTCTGCGAGAGGCGGAGGAGCGCTTTGCCAAGGAGATTCGCAAGATCTCTGGTGGAGGTGACTCGGCTTCCTTTGAGTCAGCGACAAGCGCTGGGGGTGAACGGGTTCCAACCTACGACAAGCCGAGTAGGCTGGATGCAGGTATTGAAGTTCCTCCAGGGTTGACCGGGGCACCACTCAAAGGCGAACCACAGACCAACCAACTTGCGGTCCCAGAAACTGTTCGAAGTTTGGAGCTGCCGGCATTACCTCATCCAGCAGTGGAAGGTGCAGCACTGCAGTTTGGCGATTGGTTGGTGCTGGTCTACCCCCTGATGTCGGACCTGTCGGCAACGTCTCAGCAGTGGTGGGAAGGAAGCCTGGCCGCAGCGAGACGATTGTATGAGCAATGGTTGGTGGCATCCCCATTGGACAGGTTGAGACTTCGGCCCACGGAAGCTAGGGTGGATCCACTTCATCTCAGGGTGGAGCAGCGAGGAGTGGCCATGTTGATCGGCGTGCTGCCAGAGCAGTTGAGGAGGGACATCATTTCTGCAGGAAGTCCCTCGACGATCAGCATCTTGTTCAGGCTCCACGTGGTGTTCCAGCCGGGAGGAGGTGCTGAGAGGACGATTTTGTTGAAGAGTTTGACGGAGGTCAAGGTGAGCAACAATGTTCCGGACTTGCTGGTCACAATGCGTCAATGGCGACGCTGGCTGCAACGAGCTGAGGATTTAACCCTGACGCTCCCAGATCCAGTCATTTTGATGCAGGTGCTTGGGAAGCTGATGGACTCAGTGTCGAAGCTGGGAGGCAGTCAGATGGCCTACAGAATTTCGACAGTTCGCCAGGAGTTGATGGTAGATCAAAGACCAGAGCTCAGAGCGATCAAAGATCTTGGTGAGTACCTTCAGGCAGAACTGGAGGATTTGTCGCTCATGTCATCGGTGCCCAGGAGCTCTTCGGCAACGGCATCTGGAGGCCAATCCTCAGGGACTCAGGCATTGGCAGTGAAGGCTCTCCAGACAACGTCAGCGGTGGAGGAGAGGCCAAAGATGGCATGTAAGTTTTGGGGCACCACTCAAGGGTGTCGAAGGGGTGAGCAGTGCACCTATGCCCATAATTGGGACAATATGGAGAAGCAGAATCGGTGCTTCGTCTGTTCAGGTGAGAACCACTTTGCCAAGGACTGTCCAACCAAGAAGCCTAAGGACTCAAAGCGAGTGGCGAAGATAAGAGGCTCGCAAGGGGTCAAGGAGGCCGGGTTGAAGGAGTCGGAGGGGGTGGAAGAAGTAAGAAAGGAGGATGAAGTCACCACGACTACTTCCAAGTCGAGTCAGGGGTCCTTGAAGAGCTCGTCGGCATCCGGGAGTCGGGAGATGGTGAAGGAAGGGAGTGCGGGTGGTGGAGCTCCGTCGGGAGGGGCAGATGCCACGACGGCTCTCATCTCGGAAGCGACCACGCTGCTGAAGTCGCTTCGATCGCTCAAGGCCTGTAAGGTCAAACAGGTGCTACATCCAGCAGTCGGCCGAGAAGAGCTGGTGGCATTGTTGGATGGAGGTGCAACACATCCGCTGAGGACGGCGGCTCCGGGTGAGAGAGATCACTTGGAACCAATACAGGTTGAGTTAGCTCATGGGTCAACAACCCTGTATCGAAAGGAGAACTGCAGCACACTACTTTCTCTGGATGAGGTGGAGCCAATAATTCCATTGAGTTTGTTGGTGCAGCATGGATTCCAAATCCAGTGGGCAAAGGATGGGTGCACCATCAAGCATCCAAGACAAGGTCCAATTCCATGCTGGCTGCGGGGGGGTTGTCCTGTGATGAATCGCCGACAGGCGTTGGAGATGCTCAGAGAGTTTGAGGAGATGGAGCAAGGTCGAGTGGACATTGAGAAGGAGGACATCGAGTGGTGGATTCAGAACATGCCAGAATTCCCCAGGGAACTTTTGACCTACATGAAGGGCCAATCGTGGAATCCATCAGGGGAAGAGTTGCCTTGGAACCGGAGACAGAGGAGATCTCATCAAACAGCGAAGGGTGTAGTGGTGCACCTGTTCTCGGGCGCGAACCTGACTCGCTGGAAGAAGACCCTGCCTTCAGGCTATGTTTGGCTGTTCCTGGATACGCAGCTTGGCTCCCGCTTTGATTTGCACTCACCGCCCATCTGGGGATATTTGTGCTCACTGGCTAAGCAAGGTCAGATTCGAGTTGTTTTGGGTGGCCCACCATGTCGAACAACCTCAAGGCTCCGCAACAAGGGACCGCCGGGTCCGCGAAGGGTTCGAGGGCGAGGACATGAGAGATGGGGCATCTCGCAACTGTCAGAGCAGGAAATCCAGCTGACAAACCATGATTCGGCTTTGGTGCTCAAGCAGGCTGGCCTTTGGAAGATGTGTCAACAGAGCCCGAAGAGAAGGTTCACTACAGGTTTTTTGTTGGAGAGCCCTCAAGATCCTGCAACATACTTGGACACGCCTGAAGGTCAGGAATCTCCGTCTTTCTTTGAATGGCCTCAACTACAACAGCTGTTGGAGGAGGACGAGAATATGAGAATGGTTTGCTTCGATCAAGGAGCGACTGGTCATTGCAGGAGAAAACCCACAGGACTGTTGACCAACCTACCTATGATGGAGCAGCTGGAACACTGCAAGGGGGGAGGAGCAACTGATCCAATTGGTGGGGAGCTTAGTCAGAGAATGGCAGCATCGAGGAGCTGGTCGGAATGGTCGCCGGGCTTTGTTCGTGCCATCCAGTACTCTCTGAAGGAGATGCTCAACGAGGACGATGACCCCGTCCAGGTGGCGAAATTAGACCTGGATCAATGGCGACGACATGTGAGGATGCAGCATGTGCCGTTTAGACGAGACTGCCGTGCTTGCATCGAAGCGATGGGCACACAACATCCCCATCGGAGATCCAAGACAGCTTCTGCGGCCTTCACCCTGGCCATTGACATCATCGGTCCGTTCACGTCGGTCAAGGACCTTGCTACTGGAAGGATGGCCCGCTACGCATTGCTGGGAACTGTTCCAATTCCAGTTCCAGATCAGCTACCCAGTGCCCCGGAGGTAGAGACCTTGGAGGAGGAGCACCTGGAGGGGATTGAGCCGGTTGAAGGCTTAGATGAAGAAGAAGAAGTTGGAGACCAAGATCCGAGTCCCGGTGACGATGAAGAGGTCATGGGAGAGGCCATGGAGGAGAGTGAGGAGCCAGTGGAGCAGGTGGATCTCGAAGCGATTCAAGAGCTGAAGCGACCTCACGAGCTCCAGAACATCACGATGATAGAGATCTTAGAGGATCGAAGTGTTACGTCGCTGCTAGCGGGACTGTCACGACTACATGCTCGCTTTCGCTGTATGGGCATCAATTTGATGAGGCTTCACAGCGATCGAGAAAAAGGACTGCTTTCAAGAAGGGTGGCAACATGGTGTGGTCACAGACACATGACCCACACCTTCACACAAGGTGATGATCCCCAAAGCAATGGCAGAGCAGAAGCTGAAGTGCAACAAGTGAAGCGTCGGCTCAGGTTGATCCTTCACCAATCCCAGGTGGAACCTGATCTATGGCCTGGAGCGATTCGACATGCAGCGGAGGAACGGTGCCGTCAGCAACTCCAGCACCTTGGCATTGCAGTTCAACCAATGCATCGCTTCGGGGCCATGGTTGCAGTTCGATCCAAAAGATGGCACAAGGCAGGACAGATTGCAAATCCCTTCGTGTCCATGCAACTGGTAGGTCCAAGCCCATTGATGACAAGTGGCTGGGTGGTGAGACGAAACAACAAAGTCCAACATGTCAGGGCGGCAATCCAACCAGTACCTGAAGCAGATCAGGCCATCCTGGAACTACAGGCGATTGATGCAGAGGAGGTCAAGTATAGAAGAACTGGCAAGCAGCGGTTGGACCCTCATCCACTTGAAGATGCAATTCCACGGCTGTATGAGTCAGTGGAGCATGCAGCAAGGCCTGTCCTGGCAGCGTTGACACACTTCAGGACAAGGGGGGGGACCTCAGCCAAGGAAGAGACCTTCTTTCTGCAACCTGATCCTGGCACAAGAGAGGAAGAGCCAACTCAGGAGATGAAGGAATGCCCAGATTGCGGCCTGTTGCAGGAGCGAGGAAAACCTCAAGAACAGGGTCTACATCGAGAAGATCGAGGAGGTCCCTGTGGGTTTTGCGGGTGTCAGGAGGTGGGATGGGGAGTGAGATGGGAGGAGACACAGGTTCCGGGGGAGGAGATGTGTGACCAGGAAGCCTGCTCATGGACCCAAGCCCATCAATGGTATGAAGATGACCTGCAAAGTCATTGGGTTCTTAAGAAGATGTGGCTGGAGCAGTTGAACGTGACTCCAATGGGCCCAGATCAAGGTAGAGAACATGGCCAATGGCTGCAGGAGCTGGAAGAGAAACTTCGGGTTCAGGAGGAGTGCCTCAGCAAGCAGCATCAGGCTTTGGAGGCATGGAGGTTGGCAGCATTGAATGGTGGTCAAGATGAAGAGAAACCACCACTGGTTCTCCAGACCTACGCGGTCCCATTGGCTCAGGTGAGGAGAGAACTTCACAAGTGGGTGGAGCCTTTCAGAGATGAGTATACTTCTTTGTCCCAGACAACTCAGGCGATTCTTCCAACCACAGAGGAGGCCTTGAAGCTGGATCCTCGTTACCCCGACAGAGAAGAAGCTCCAGCGATGCTGGTTCCCACGGTGAAGAGCCCTCATGGTCGCCACAGGGCAAGGGTGGTCATTTGTGGAAATCACCTCACTCGTTCTCAAGCCGAGGAGAAGGTGCTGAGTCCTTTGGAAGCACCAGCGTCAACTTCGCCTTTTGCGCTCTATGCAGGGGGAGCAGATGCCACAGTGCTTAGAGCACTGTTGAGGAAAAGTGCTCTGGAAGGGTGGTCGACGGCCAGCCTGGACGTGAAAACAGCGTTCTTGCTCGCACCTCGACGAGATGCATCGCGACGACTGCTCATCACTCGCCCACCGCGGGTGTTGATCGAGGCTGGAGTATGCCAACCAGGTGAAATTTGGGAGGTCAAGAACTCCTTGTACGGGTTGCAAGAAGCACCAATCAATTGGGCGCTTTTCCGGGACGAAGAGATGGCTCGATTCCGGTGGGAGGACAATGGAGTGGGCTGGCGTTTGCTGAGGACCCAAGAACCGAACCTGTGGAAAGTGGTGCTGGAAAACCCAGAGAGGGTGAACATGCCGGACAAGGTCTACGCCTTTGTGGCAGTGTATGTTGATGACATTCTAGTTACTGGGGAAGATGTTGTGGCTCGATCAACTATTCGGAGGTTTCAAGATCAGTGGAAGTGTTCATCTCCGGAGTGGCTGTCACAGCACCACACCCTGAAGTTCTGTGGATTTGAGGTCTCTCAGGATCCTCGGGGAGTTCGTCTTCACCAGAGCGCCTACCTGAAGGATCTGTTGGCAAGGTATCCTGATTTGAAGACGGCACCAAGTCCACTGCCAGGTTGCCTGGATGATTCTGATGAGCCGGACCCTGATATTCAGGAAGTGCGACGGGCCCAGACACTGGTGGGGGAGCTTCTTTGGCTCGGGTGGATATCTCCTATGCGGTTTCTTGGCTGGGAAGGCATGTGGCTCGCTGTCCAGTTCGGGTTCAGAGGTATGGGAAACAGGTGTTGGGCTTCTTACAGGGCACCTTGGACTATGGCCTTTTGTACACTCACCATCCCAAGGGAGAACAGGATCCTGCGGAGGAAAGGGGCATCCACATGTACTCTGATGCCTCATTTGGTCCACCTGGGTCGCGAGGGCATCAGGGATTGATGGCGGTGTACTCTGGGGCCTTGATCCAATGGGAGAGCAAACAACAGCCATTTGGAACCCTCTCAAGCTCAGAAGCAGAACTCATGGGGTATACAGACGCCCTCACGATGGGCGAATCTTGCGCAACCATTGCAGCCATCCTGGAGAGTGGTGATGGAAACGAGGCAGTGGATTGTGTACTTCATGGTGATTCTCAGTCAGGCATCCGCATTTTGCAATCGCCCGACGGCCCGTGGAGGACGCGGCATTTGAGGCTGAGGAGCTTTGTGTTGAGGGAGAGGATTCGCACCGGTTGTTGGCGAGCAAAGCATGAGCCTGGAGCATCCTTGTCGGTGGACCTGCTAACGAAGTCAATAGTCAGTCCAGCAGCATGGTCAAGATTTTGTGAGTTCACGGGCTTGGGTGTGGGAGCTTCTATTGACCTCAACAACCAAGAGAACAGCTCACGTCTGAAGAAGCTGGTGGCACTTCTGAGTGGGCTGATAGGTGTAGCTTGTTGGCAGCCAGTGCAAGAGCTTGCGAAGGTTGCCAAGTGTGTCACTGTAGCTGCGGTAGCTGCTAGTATAGCATGTTTGATGGGAGGGAAAGGGAGAGAAGACCTTTCAAGAGATTGCAACCCGGCACTTGCTTGGACCAAGGCATCCAAAGAGAGCAGTGTCGAAAAAAGAAAGATTCAAGATGGGACAAGGGAAGATGAACCTGTCCTCACCATCGGACGCGACACTAGCCCCACGGGCTCCTCCGGCCGCGATCGATCGTGCAAGCCATGGATGCAGCAGCCGCCTCACTTGAGTGCTCTGAGGGCTCCGGTGCGGCATGTGGGCTTGGGCACCGACTTGCCTTGGGAGCTGATGATCGAGATTTCAATCACCGCCGACCGGAAACGATCGGTGGGAGTGCCTTGGTGTGGGATTGGGTGGAGGTGAATGGTGGGTGAGGGTTCTCAAGAAGTCCAGGGTCCGAGCATACCATCCACTACACAGAGGCACACCAATGTCAATCGGCAGCTTGTCTGCCACCCGGGTCACAGTGACCTTTTCTCGGGGAAATCCCCGCGAAGTGTGGAGGAGGACGGTCGTCACTGACGACTGGATTGAGAATCGAAATTGTGATGTCCACGGCATCTACGAGTGGTGTGGATCTTCCTTTTTCTATGTGAAGTTTGGGCCTTCGCGTGAGGGAGGCTCAGAAACCCAAGAACGGCATGGTTTTTCTCCAGGGCCAATACCTTCGCCTGGATCGGTGGCTCCAACTGGTGGCTATGGCAGCTTTCATCCTGGAGCATCCAGAGCAGCACAGCGGGGTCAAGCGGCCCTACCAAGAGATGAGCAGCGGGAGATAGGACGAGGTTGTGACGAAGGCACCACCTATGATGGAACGGGGTTCAGTGCACGAGGCAGTGACTTCATCGAGGGTGGCAGGATGACGGGCTATGATCTCCGCCTGCATGGATGCGGACGAAGGGGTGAGGTCGATCTTGACCCTGGCCGAGAAGCGAGGGAGCAAGCACAAGCCTCTGAGGATTCACTTCCGCCAGAGGCGGACCAGCTGCCGATTTGGATGGGCATTGCTACTGAGGTGGGACCACCACCGGGCCTGGGAGATCCCGACGATTCTACGTCGGATGGCAGCTTTTGTAGAGTGGACTGTAGATGAAAAACCTACGGTGCCGCAGATGACAGCGATGCTGTCAGGGGGAGTGTGGTTGTGCAAACCATGCTTCCATCAGCTTTCAAACCAGCATGAAACCATGCACTTCGCTCATGGCTCAAGAAATGTCCGTTCGAGGGCGACATGTTTTCGCTCTAACATCAAGAACAAATGATCTCGTTAACTAACAACAGGTCATGGGACTATTAACACCCAACCCCAATTTGAATCCCTCCCAATCCACCTGGCACTTACATCGCTTCGCAATGTTTTGCCAATCCAGTCGAGTTTCTGAGCCCACAGGAACTGAGTGCTGATGCGAACTTGTCCAGGCTTTTCGTGCCTTGACTGGATTCGGTGACCGCAGAAAGTAAGACTGGTGGCTCTTTCAGGTCTTTGCAAGATTTACCTGTGGAGGAATATGAATCTCCCGAAAACTAACATGGACCCTGACAATGGCACCCTGAAAGACTGTCTTCCTCTACGATCCGTGTTAGTTTTGAGCAGGGTAGAGGCTACCGATCAGATGCAAGCTCCTTTTGTCGGACATCATTCTACATGATGTCGCAGACATCATTTCGAAACGGCTTTGAAGCCTCGAACCTGGTACTCGTGTGTTCGGCAGCTTCACCAATATTCATAAGGATCAATCCGATAGAAACGGCTTGAAATTGAAATCTTTGTATAACCCAATCAACATGATAATATAGAACGATATGAATCAATCCGAAAACACCCCACCCATTTCCCATACTGTTTCGGGGTTGGTCCTGGGTTGGTGAAAGCATCACAGTCATGACACCAAAGGAGCTCGGTCCACAAGGTGCCTGTGTGGACGTCGCTCCACCCTTGGGACCCTCCGGAAAGCAGAGAAATAGAGAAGGAAAGACGGCTGAACAGCAGCTGCACTCCAAAAGTTACCTTCGGTGGAAATATATAAGCACTACATACAACCTCCCAAACCCGGCGCAGTGCGGGGCCACTGGGTGAAACTCCCCGTGCGCTCCATCGACCGGCCTTGGCCCCTTCCTCTCCGAGGAGGAGGTCCAGTCGGCCGGCTACCGTGCCTCGGAACGCGAACGCGGCCTCCGAGAGAAGGCCCCGGATGCCCGCGGTCAAGCGGTTGGACGGGTGGTTGGACGGGTCGTCCCGGAGGAAGCCGGTTTGAGCCGGTGGTTGGGGCCTAGGCTATGGGGCCCCAAGTAGACCAGTCTACTATAGGTGGATTTTTACATTTTGTTGCATGGGTTTTTATATAATGTAACCAGAAACCTGAGGCAGATGGTTCACAGGAAGCCTGAACTGGGACCCCCTAGGACCGCAGGTCCTAGCAGATTGGAAGTAAGTGATCTTCTATCCCTCGTTGAACGTGCTATTGACCGGCTTTTTGGGGGCCGAGCAGCTGCTTTGTCACGCTAAAACCAGTTGGCCTGGTGTTGCTTTGGTTAACGTGGCCTTGGGGAACTCATGGGTTCCTGTCATTGCCTGTCACATTTGTTGAAGTAAGTGAGCTCAGAACTCAGAACTCGCTTGGAAACTACATGACTGGTATGAGTCGTCATCCGAAAGGTCAAACAGTTTCAGCCGGGTAAATGATAGTATATATATATATATTTTTTTTTCAGAATTGCATGATTTAAGGCACCTAACTAAACATAACGAAACTCATGGACCATTTTAGGAGATGGATGGTGATGGTGTCTAATTGATTCTATTGGGATTTGGTCTGCAATCTTTCTATGTTTGCATTAGTTTAGTGCAATCTGAGCAATCTCAATGCAATCTCAGGGTGCCCATATTTGTACTCTCCCGTAAACTAACATTGAACCCATGAATTGACCGGTGGAAGACCATTTCCGAATACCAACCCAGTGGTCTTCAGGTTCCATGTTAAGCTGCAGGGGAGTATGTTTTATATAGTATTATAGACTAAGTCCGAGTCTCTAGAGTCTAGAGTCACATGACAAGCTTTTCACGTATGTCACCGTGACGAATTCGGCAGCAGCCGGGTCTTCCGAAGGGACCCCCACCAATCTGTGAAAAAATCATTCAAAATTCAATGCGTTCGAAGCCCCGCTTCAGTTTTTGGGCTGAAGATTTCTGTTGGTTTGCAGGTGCTTGGGAAGGTTGCCAGGGCAGGGACGACCCTCTCTTTGTTTCATGCGAAGAAGTGGTTCCCAGAAAGCAAGTCCACTTGGAACCCCGACTTGCCTCCCTCTCCGCAGGCGGAGGCAGTCTTGCAGCAAAAGGCCCACGGTGAAGTGACTGATATAGCGGCATGAGCGGCTGAAGTGGTATTTGGAAGATGGTGATCCAAGGTCCATGAATCAATTTTCCACTTCCATGATTATTTCACGGAGCGAAGTACCTTGGATGGGGAAGGCCCCAGCCACAGTTGCTTGCTCTTTTTCCTTGCATAAGTCAATAGATGTGATGATGATGTTCTTCTCATCCCCCTCCAAAACAAAAGCATCCGAACGACCCACGTAGCATCAGAGGCCAGTTCGTCGCCACGGGTTTGTTAAGACGACGGTGGAGCTCCGGTCTGCACTCCATACAGCTGACCTAGGACCCAAGCCATGCTGATTGCAACATTTATCGCACCTTTCGCAACTTGGGCCAACACCAGTGGACAGCCATGAACACGAAACTATTTGGTGATTAGGAGCTATAAAGAGCCAGTATCCATATTCCCCTTGAAACAGGGAGCCCTTTCGGAGCTACAGGCATGTCCTATAGAATCTTTCTGATACCTTGTTCTCGGTATGAAGACCTGGCGCTGAACACCTGGCTGCACCAGGCTGGCTTGATGTCCCATGAGGACTGTGACGTCGCAGCTTTTTGGGTCCGGCTCCGCTGGGGTCCGGCCGTGAGCATCCCATGACTTGGGGAGTAGGTCTGGTCAGCTGGACTGTCTTCCACTCCAAAAATTGGATTTGTTTCATGGGCTTGTTAGGCTCGGTTCCCTTCAACATGTGGGCTAGACGGCTAGACATGGCTAGACCAACGGCTTACTTAGTAGTCCCTTCAACCTCATCTCATCCAAGGCTTTGGGTCTTGACTCCCTCCTCCCTCCTCCCCTTCTTCCATCTCTTGGAGCGGCTTCCGAAACACAGTCTCGTGGAGCCTTCTAAAGCAGTTGATGGGACACCTCTTTGTTGAATTGGAAGGACCTTTTAGTTCGACCACATGATGCACTTGTTTGTCATGAGTTGAAAGTTGCTGCCAGGCTCCTAGACACTGTCAACATTTGTCAAGCATCAGCAAGAGCTAAGTGTATGGATTCATTATTGCTCGAATGCTGCTGAACTGCTGGTTGTTTGCTGTTTGCTGGTTGCTTTTCGTTGGTTCATTGCTTTGTAGTCAACAATCATGGCTTGCCGTGCTGCTCGGCTGTAGGACTCGGAGCTCTCCATGGAACACCTGCAGGAGGCCCATTTGACGGATCGCTGTGTCATTTTGGTCGGCACCTCGGAATGAAGAGATATGAAGATGCACAAGTGGTCCCACCACCAAGGCTTGGTTGCAACTTGTGGGATGCGGGAAGAGTTCATTCTTACATGTTCTTACTGGATCTTGGCTTGTTGAAAGATTTGTTACACTAGCGGGTCAGCAGGGAGTAGGAACCGACAGATGGGATAGCTGGGAAATCATGGGAGGGAAGATTCCATGGGAGGTTCTTTGCCATGTGACCCCCATCATGGTGCAAAAGAGCGGAAAGCCAACTAAAGTCCCAAAGCATCCCACAGAAGAGTCACATCAACACGTTTTCCATTGTTGAATCCAAAACCGTTTCAACTTGACAGCGTGACACACATTCAATTGTGTTCATTTTGAAGAAGGTGGGGGTGCGTTTCCAACATAAACCATGGAACATACAAATTGGAGTGTTCCACGTTCTATCCACAAAAGGATTTTCACAAAGGCTATAGTGCACAATTCCGCCAGTAATGGATCAAGGCTACACTACATTAGAGTTTGACACATACTTGATGCCCACGTGAAGACTTACTGTAAGAGTTTAGAGAGATTGTGCATGTCAAAGCCAATCAATCCCGCACAAGAACTAACCCTATGAATCCACATACCCTTTGAGAGGGTGATTGGATAGACCTTTATGCATGCTTTCAGGTTCCAAGTGCCTTCTGAGCAGGTCTGTGAACCCCTGGTGTCACATCGAAACTGACAACCCCCTGCCCATCGAACCGGCAGAGCTTAAAGCTTACGAACCAGCTTTGGCTTTTCGGTCCAGCGTCGGTCTACCAGCCCAACCAGACCATCGTCGTTTCGACCGAGTCCGTGGGTGACGAAGACTCGTTTGATGCGCGCCAGGTCTTAGAGGCGCTCAAGGACTCTCAAGATTGGCAATGGCAGAAGAACATCCACCACGCCACGGAACTCCTGCAGAAGCAGGTTCCGCGGTCAAGACCGGCCAGACCGGCGGTCAAGACCGGTTCCGACGGGTCGTGGTTGGGGTGGGGTCTGAAGGGGGCTCCATAGATGTCCATAGAAGTGATGCCCTCTCTGAGACATCCTCATAGAAGAGGTGAGTTGGAGGTGAGCATCTTGATTTATATAGTTTAGTTATAACTAATATATAGATATTGATTAAGTTATATTGCAAAGAGGGCGCGGCATGGTTCTTCACGAGCTCATGGATCCAACATGTGCATAATTGGGCATTGCGGGACAGAAGCGCAGGATCCCTGAAGAAGCATATCCTAAACTTTCAGTGCCAGTACGAAAAACAGGGTGTGATGCAGCTTTGAGTCCTCAGAACTTTCTGAGTTTAAACATGAATGTTTGTGCTCGCATTTCCAGTTGGGGAAGTTGTGAGAGGCAGAGGTAGATAGGCAGAGACAGAGGCTCAGGGACTCAGGGTTGGACGGCGCTATCCCTAAGTCCACTCTCTGAGTTTGGAGTGTCCGTGTCGACTTCGTGTCAGTGATATCTGCGCTGCAGGTCAAGGCTTGCTTCAAGAACCGTGGAATGCCGCTGGTGCGGCAGTAGATGGGATGCTGGTGATGGATCAACGTTGTAATACGTCAGGCTTTCAGGGTTTACTATGGGTCCCTTCCCCTAGTTTTAAACGCGGTGATACGGTCCATAGCATATGTTATTAGGTTCTCGCGATGTTTTAGGTGTATCCACCAGGCTTTGTGACGCACGCAGCTGGGCACCTCCTCATTTATGTGCACTTGCTGCATCATCATAATATATCACAACCACTTCCCTGAATGTTTGTCAACCCCTGGACCAGGTTTTTGCACCCTGCCAAAACTAAAAAGAGGCTTAATTAGTTAAAACTGTAAAAGAAGTGTAACAACAACAGAAACACCGTCAGAAGTCACCCTCTCCTTGTGATGAGCTGCGAACAATGTTCCTCCAAATCCGCCGTGCGGACCCTGGACTGCTACACTATGCGCACCCACTTGCAGCAGCAAGTGAGAATGCCGTGTAGCAATTACAAACATTAAGAAGCCTTAAAATGGAACACCGTCACATTGAGCACATCGCACAACTTGTGGGTGAATTAGACTAAACTCATTTCAAAGTTGCTTTCTTCCAAAGAGCTTCCTTCGGGGCATGTCAGTGGCTTTGAAACGGGTGTCGATTGTCTCCCAGCCGTTGTCTTCAAGGGATGAGGCCTCACAGGTATCACCGGATGATGCACAGACAGAATGAGGTCATCAGGCAGAGAAGGCAGTGTTCGCCGCCCATGACCCTTGAACGAGCTCATTCATGGGGTTCTGGCGGAAATTCATGGTGTTTGCGCATCAGTGGTCGCCAGTGGCTGACTGCCAGGGACTGTCCACTTATTCCGATTTGCCCAGGATGGATGCCCAGCCCATGCTTTTGGACCTCATGGAGGCTGCCAAGACTCATCAGGCACTCCGTGTTGCGCCTGCCTGGTGGTGCGGGTCGGGCCGCCCGAGTGGTGATTGCCAGCCCCAAAAAGAGGCTTTAATCCATGGGCCAAGTGCTGGGCTGCAGTTCAGTTGTGTGGACGATTTTTGGTCTTAAACACTTGACGACGCCCACCACTGGTGTGCTAAAGAGGACCTTTTGGATCCCGATCCTTGTGGTTTAGAAAGGGATTTCCGACCCAGCCAGGTCCAGCTCTGTCCGAACCGGTCCGTGGAACCGTCAGGTGACGGATCAATTGACCCCGCTCTTGGAGAAGGCCTTGTGACTCGGTGGTGTGGCGCTGCGGCTCGGGGGGTTCGGCTAGGTGGCGACCTGGTGCCAGGCCTGGTGGCTTGGGGCTGAAGAAGGTGTGGATTGTTAGGGTGTTGGGTGCTGGGGCTGAACATCGGTCTTCTAGGGTTTGGTCGACCTCTTGCGGCGTGGGCCGTGCAGGAGGATCTAGCATTTGCCATGGCCTTGACATGGCATAGATGTCTAGCCTCGTCAATCGAAATGATAATAGCAGGGGATCAATCACGTTGGTTGTTCGAGCTATGTGCGGGAGGTGGGGTGAACGTGCTAACCACTCATGCTGGGAGGGCCTTTCGAGTGCACCAGTGCACAGCAGTTGATAGAACCCAAATTAGTCCAACCAGGGAACCCAAGATGAATTGTTCCCCCAATAGGCTTAGGATGGCTTAGGTTCTTTTGTTGCTGGTGTACACGCGCGGGTACACGTGATCAGCTCAGATCAACCAGAAACTGAGGTTGGCAGACACGTTCTGTTCCCCCCAAATCACCGAGGCGAGGTCATCTCGAAAAAGGTGGTTCACGGACCAAGCCGCAGAAGGAGACGGACGCCGTCAAGCTGCTTGGCTAATGAAGTCATCGCGTTTAGAGTTGATTGATACAACCCGCTCAATTTTGGATTATAACATCCCTTCACATTGGGGGTTGAAGTATATATGTATGCCAAGATTCTACATTTGGTGGTGCTTGCCTTTTGATCGCCCTCTGTCTACCCCCAACATGGACTATGGTCAGGTCCTCTACAACCCCGGTGGTTTTGGGTTCCATGTGAATTAATGACCATGGGGCCACAGACACTGTATATTATATACATACATAAGAGACAGTATTTACACATAGCAGTCCCAGCGTGCTGCAGTATACAGGTGTGTTTATCAATGCGTACAGCAGGAGCAAAGGGAGGATACCCGTCAAAGTATCAAGAAAACAGGTAACCACAAGCATGAGTATGGTATTTGCTTATTTTTCCACGAGCGTGGTCAGGCTGACTCCATGTCGAAGCCTGGCTAGCAGCTGCCCCCGCCTACTCAGTAAACTGTGCATGGATTCCTGTCAGAGGTGGTTCATCAGGATGATTGGCATCTACATGCAGGATCATGCAGGATGTTTTTTCAACCTTCAATCTTCACTGTTTTATTGACTTCCGCATCTTCTGCCAGAGGATCTTCCAGCATCCCCCGAAAGAGGCTCCTGCAGATCTCGCTGTGCGCGGAGAAGCTCCAGCTGTCCGACGTCCGTGTGAAGGCCATCGAGGCCAGGACGCCCGGACGAGGTCGGGCGGGCCACAGGTGTCCAGGTTGGGACTTCCAATGGGGGATGCGTAGGGGCGACCAGGGGTGTTGCGCATATATATATATATATAGTATGTTATATATTCAGTAAGTATCAGTAAGTTGGTTTTTGACCACATAATTACCTATTATTACTATATAAAAATATATATTATATATATATATATTATTATTGTATTGTTGTGTTGACTGTGGATGAATAACCCCCCCTGCCAGAATAGCTTTGGGTTTTATATGGTTTCTATATGTTACCTCACATTGGAGTGTATGGGTTGAAAGCCTCAAGCAACCTTTGAGGACCTCAACACGGGGATCTGAGATTTGCTTGGAATTCCGATGCTGGAGCGTCCAGGGACATGGAGGGTTTATAGACTCCAGTCAACAAAGAGTGGATCACCCGGGGATTGGGAAGCCCCACTAGAATCCAACAGGTGGAATAGGGTTAACCGCTTCCACGGGGGGTCAGAGGCCTCCCCAAAGTGTATTTAGCTGTACTTTCCGTGATGCTGCAGATATGATGAGATATCTAAGTAACAGAAGCAAATACACTCCCTCCAACAAACATGGAGGTGATTTGCCTTCCATGATGATCTGGGTGGTGGGTTCTAGACAGTTCGTTGGTTCAACCTACTTGGGATGATCTCACTGACTCATGTGCTTTCAAGCCCCTATAGGGACCCACACCTTCTCAGAAGGTACTTGAACCCTCCAAATTTAAAGCTATATATACCCAGTCTATAGTAGGTTTCATAGACTCAGCTGCCCCCCCAAATCAGGGGGTACTTTTGACAGTCAAGACTGCAGGGCAAATACTTACTCAGACTACAGGGCAAGTATAAAAGGTGTCTCCACTCACCGGTCACCAGCTCCTGTTCCGCAGGAGATGAAGCGTTCAGTGGAAGCGATGAAAAACAAAGGCGCTGGGCCCGAGGGATCGGGGCGAAGACCAGCGTGCTGCGAAGACCAGCGTTGAAGACCCGAATCGTCCAAGCCAGTCACCGGCAGGAAGCCCCGATCGTAGTAGATCTACGTCCGACGAAAACGGGCATCCGGAGGAATCCAATTGGAATGAGTTTGGTGCATGTGTGTGCATGAAAAATTGAAAGTTTTGGACCAAGACACTGGAGATCTTGAGATCCTATGAGATTGTTTTGATGTTTATGGCGATTGGTAGAGCAACTGCTGTAGGTGCAACAGAGCGACACTTGGTCAGCGGCATATTTTATAGAATTGTGGGATGCTACTAGGAGCAAAGGGCATCGCTACGAACGGAGCAAAGGACGCTACGAACGGGGCTCCTGGCATCGCTACGATCGGAGCAACATCCTGCTTCGCTTTCAGACGATGTCATCACACACCATGATGGTCTCTCATGGCTCAGTGGAACAGAAGATTTTGACCTTGGTATGGAATATGATGCTTACATTCGCCCCGCAAACCGCCCCAATGTAGGCAGTATGGCTTACGTGGAGTGTTTGGGTATGGGGGAGGCTGTGATGAAAGGATTGAATTCTCCAACATCCTCTCACAAGGCGGTTTCCTTTCCTGAGTGATTAAATCCCAAGAAGCCAAGAAGCGGTCCAGGCCTTGTGCAATAGGAGTGCCTTGTGCAACTTCAGAACTTCCCTGGACTTACGGTCGACGGTCCATGTCTGGTACTGGACCAAACCTCTGGTGGTCCCTGACACCATCTTTTCGAGCAAAGCGCAAGCGCGTGCTGGTGAGGTGCCGATGGCTTGACCGAACTACGTACCTTTCAGGAGCTGGCCGAGTCGAGTCGGGTTTGGCAGAGCAGTGCCTTTCAGCAGTGGTCCCAGTGTCCCCTGAAGGGTCAACCAGTCTAGACTAGTTGGACCAGGTTTGTTCTCCGAGTCCGTTGTGACCGTTCTTTGTGCCATGCATGGACACCGATAATCCGGTCAGCCATGATGTTTTCGCTTCCATGCGCAAAAACACGGTGCTGCACTAGGACGAAGCTCAACGCTTGGATGCTTTGGCTGCCGTGGAGTTGGCCACAGAAAGCTTGGCGCAGGTGGAAGAACGTCACTGGGCCAAACAACTAATAAAGCCCATCAGAGCCCTGCGGTTTGCTTCTTCACCCGTTTCTTTCTTGGCTGCCTGAATCACAGGCCTTGGACCCGTTTCCTTGGAGCCCTTGGCGCGGTGAAACAAAGAAACCCATGATGGCAAGTTCCATGACCGGTATGATTTTGTTGTGCTCTACCATACTCTACCCACTGTAGAGCCATGGTCACGACTGGGAAGCTGGCCAGGCAACAGATCGCTTTTAAGCGCGTGTTGGAGGAGGAGTGGTCATGTTCGACCACCACTCGGTGGTCGTATTCTTACTACTTACCTTCTCTGACGTTGTTGGGGGGGTTGCCAGACCGAAGAAGAAACTGGGACGGCCATGTAAGCAGACGGATGAACACCTGCGTTGGCCCTGGGTTTGCATTCAACAACTGTTAGGCAACTGACTGCAGGAGGATCACAGCATAGCATAACTGCCTTTGTTTGGCACGGGAAGGGGTTGGCGCAACAGATTGGCCCCGATGACAAGGAGGTCCGACACCTTTCGACACGGGATGAAGTATGTTTGAACATGGCTGGGTCCATCATCCATGAAAGAAGTACATTTGCACCTCCGAGTTGCGCAGACAAAAGGCTGCTGTATAGCCAGTCAGCTTTCCTACACCTATTTTTGACGAGCCAGCACCCAAACCTTCTTTGTTAGATATTCTAATCTTAACTTATTATAGTCCAATTGTATACAACTGCTCCCCCAACGACATGATTCTTGATACAGTGTTGCTTGCCAGTGCAAGCCAGGTTTCAGTATCCCTTTTTTGAGTTGGACGGACGGCTTGCTCGTTTGATTGAACGAGCCCAGCACAGGAACGGTGGCCCAAAGAAGGCTCCCCGAATTCACTGGCTTCACCAGATTCAAGTGAACACTTCATCACCGTGCATGTTGCATTCTTGCTGTTCTTCTTATTACCTTGTATATAGGTTAGATTTCGACATCCAGGCACCCCGCAAAATCGACAGACAAGGGCTTTTTAAGTCGTTGTTGATGGTTACTGCACAACCAAAATGGTCACAAAGGCCTTGTAGATGATAGCTGCCACTCACAGATTCAGCCGCAACTTGATCTCTCGTGCTCATGGGCCTCCTCAAGAAGATCAAAGGCCCTGGTGCGGCGCGGCGCGGGCTTTCCGCGCCCGCGGGCGCGCCCGTGGGCTCGGGTCCAGCTGTGGAGCGTTTGGGGCGGCGGAAGAGTTCCAAGATGTCGGAGCTCTTCCGGATAGTGCCCACCCTGGCGCTGATCGGCGCTCTGGTGATAGCAGTGGCCGCCCTGCTGGGCAAGACAGTGGAGACGTAGGGGGCCCCAGTTTGCTACCGGAGACGGACGTGACGGCTGAGAGGTCATGGGTCGTCATTGGTAGCACCGGGTGGAGCTATCTTCATCCACTGTTGCACGGGCCCCACAGATTTATATATCCACAGAATCCCCTGCTTTGCCCCTTGCATTTGTCAATATCTTCATATTTAATGTAGACTCTTGATTAATACACCCCCGCCATATGAAAAGTATTTCCAATTAAAACGGGTGGGTTTATGAATTAAGAGTCTACATTACATTGTGTGGTAGTCATTGGGGGGCAGTTCTTGGAAACCGGAGTCTCTTGGCTCAAGTGGTCAGGATGAGGGAGCTCGAAATCTAAACGATGCCCGTCGATCTGACCATTGCCGGGGCCATGGGCCTAAAGGCTGTGGCGGCAGCAAAAGCTGCATCCGCAGCTGCCAAGCAAGCAGCTGCACAAGCCATTGCCATGGCGCAGAACACCAACTTGGCAGCCTTGCAGGCAGAGCAAGCACAGGCCAATTTGGAAAAGTACGTGTATGGCGTGCCGGTGAGTTCAATCCCACCATCGGTGTCGCCTATGCCACCAGCTGCCATTCACCCATATCCCATGAAGGCTTCGATACCTCCTGGTATGCTTGGATTCGCACTTGCATGCAATTCCAAGTGCGCATGGCAAGAGCGACGACCAAAGCAAAGTCGCTCCAGGGTCGCAAAGAGAGACCTGGGACATCACTTCTTGTAAATGCAGACGGCGCGCTGCTGGGAAAAAATGATCGTTGGGTTGGCCAACCAAGATGGAAAGGCTGGTGCCCTGGACCATCCTGGTCCAACTCGGGGGAGGTAGAGGCCGCACGTGGCCCATGTGAGTTCAAGGGGAGGATCAACTCCTGGAACGCGATTTGGCCCAAATCCTTGGATTGGTGCGAAATCTACAGGGAACCCCATGGTTTTCACCTCCCAAACCGATGGGTTTCCTGTAGATGTGTCCTTAAAACAATTCTGAGGTCTCCAACACATGGGAAGTCAAGGGCAGGCTTTTGAAGAGACGGTCGTTGGGGGGTTCATGCTGATGTAGTTAAGTGATGTTAAGTGCAACATGGGAATTCCTGGAACCTCATAGAGGAACCTCATGGAGCCTCAAGGTTTTGTATGCCTTAAGGTTTGGTGCTGCAAGTCGAGTGGGCTGTCCTATATTTTATCTACATCATTCATTCTGCACTTATTTACCTGCACAGACGCTTCAAACTATATGACCGTTGGACTGCCAAAACCTACAAGAATGTGGCCAGAAATGCCTTCCCATTGAGGGTCCCGCCCCAGCCCTGAGAGCCCATGTTGGTCAAAATTCTTGGTATGTAGGGATGATATGGGATGTGGGCCACTATTTTGTTGGCTTTGACCGGCTGCACGACCACCGGTGGGGAGCTTTTCACGGAAGCAGCCATTGACTAGATGGATTTGGGAGACCACTGTTGGTTCCACAAGTTGGTCTTTGCTTTATTGATTTGACCTCGATCCCAAGGTATTCAGCCTGAAAGACACTCAGTCTGGTCAGTCTGACTGTTCTAACCTCTCAGCGACCTGTATAGACTGGTCTTTTCGGACGGTCGAAGCGTTTCCGCAAAGGCCATGTGGCTTTTTCCTCGCACAACTGCACCCGCCGTGGGCCGTTCAATTATATATAAATAATAATAGCAAATAATACCAGGAATTAGAGACCACATGGGACTATCACGGTCGCCTGTAGCGGGGGTTGCACCCGTGGGCACGCGTGCTCGGCGTTTGGGATGCGGCAGGACTCATTTTCAGCACTTGCGCCGGAAGGGTGCCTTCTTCTTAACTGGCCCTCCTCCCTTGCAGCAGCGCTTGGCTGCTGCCTTTGGCAAGGACCATGAAGGGTTGGGCCGACCAGTCGGATCATTCCACACCTTGCATTCCGACTTCCCGGCTTGGTGGATTGATCCGATACGATTCAGCCGGAAGTACGTGGGCTGATCCGTCGCTGGGAGGCTGAATTTCGGTCGATCAATCCGGATGGGTCGACACTCCCTCCAACAAACATAGATTTGGGCAACAAAACAGTGAGAGCCCCTTGAAAAAACTTGGTTGGTAAACAAAACGGAAGCTTTTTCCGCAGGGGCCATGATCACTTGCATGATTGTTTCAGGGAGTGTGTACTGTGTACTCCTGGTTATGCTTATGTAAGCTGATGGTTGATGTTCCCTATGGGTGAACCCCTGGTTCCTCAAGCAAATCCAAGTGTTTCATGAAGAGATTGCTGTGCAGATCGATTCTCCGCAGTTTGTCACCGGGACACATAATAGTTTAATGTCCAGCTGTGATTAAAGGACCTGTAGCAGAGCAAAGAAGGACAACTCTTTTGTTTAATCACATGTGAAAACTATAGAAACCACGTGGAGGAACGACACGTAACGTATAATTAGAAATGTGACACGGCGCTCTGTTCGGTTTCATGTGCAATCGTTTTTGAATCGATGTACTTGAATCAAGACTTGGCACCATACTCAGAATTTGGATCAGCCTCATTAAGTCATTCATTATCCCAGGCACGACCTGTTTGGGACTGTCATATTTGCTGATCAGTTGGGGTGGTTGATTTCATGGATCAATGTTGGCATAGTTGTTGGCAAATATTCACTATATTCCACGCACATGACACACACACAGATATATATATATATATAGATATGTTTTTTTTGTATATACCCCACCGGCACCCTCCAACAGGTCTCTAGAATAGTCAGGGTGACCCATTGCAGACCAGGGTGCTGGAGTGGACATGGGGGGTGCGGAATTCATGTTCCCAGTCTGCTGAGCGGGTTCCAGCGGCTTCCCAGTCGGGCAGCGGCCAGGAGGTCACGGCGACCACGCTGGCACCACAGCGCGAGGGTCAACCACTGCGCGACTCGTCGCGCCAGGGTGGTTGTGGTAGGTGTTCATTCTTTTTTATCCAGGGATTCACCCATGTAACCGGGGATTCATATAATTATCATGTGTTTGGTGGTTTTTGTTCTTGAGCCAATGGGGTTTCTTTTTGTTAATCGGATGTTTTACAGGTTTGTTCAGTTCTCCTTTCGCCTGGAAATCCTTTGCACATCACCAGTGAGACATCCTTTCCAAGCTTTACCTGAGATTGCTTCAACTTGGGACCGATGACGTCCAGATTCAGATCTTTTGCGTTGCCCAGGCTATGTGCCAAACAGCATGGTCTTGGCAAACTCAATCGCAATGCAGGACCTGCATTGAGCTGTGACGTTCTGAGTTTCAGCCAAAGACGTTTGGACTCGGAGGCGAGGTTTCGGTTCTTTGTGTATTTTTTGTGTTTTTGAGTTATATATAGGTTGTTTGTTGTGATGTTGGGTTATCGGCGTTTGCTTTTTGAATTCAGGATTGTTATTGTGCTGCGTTTCTTCATGTTGCCAACGACTTCAATCAGGGTTCACCGCTGTTTCACCTGGAAACCGCTGTTCTTTTGTCATCTCCCTCATCTCCGAACGCGAACGCTGGGTTTACCGCTATGCTGCTATGCGGTCTCCCATGAGTGCCGCTTGAGCCTTTTGGCTCAAGTGAAGCATGGACACGGCCCTTAGCCATCAGCCCATGAGCATCATATTATAGAATTGGTTGCGGATCAAGTCAATCCACGCAGAAACATGGTAGACAGGTGAACGTACTTCCAGTTGACCATTCCATTCAGTGGATGTTCACAATATCAGGGTGCTGAGTGTATTCCGTCCGCATCCTCGCAGCCTGCGGATTCGACCCGGCTGATGGAGTGCTTGGCCGGCGCTGCTGCCTTGCAAGCACAGGCGCAAAGCTGCCTTTGCAGTGGCTTGTGGCTTGGTTTGGGAGAAAGCCCTTTGAAATACAATCCATGGCCTAGGCAGGCTGGAAAAATTGAAGTGAACTTGACAGATAGAAATGGAGAAAGAGAGGGAGAGGGAGCAAGAATTTCCCCATCATATAGCATATGCGATTTAGTTGTATTGACACTCCTGGAAATAGTCATGGAAGTCCTTTACAAACACGGGGTGCCATCCACTTCCATGATGTATTTGTCGGATGGTATATATGTTTTTGTTTGTGTTGCTTATGTTTGCCGGAGTCTTTGGGCCTTTGGGATGGGTTCGCTGTGACACTTGTCATTGAACGAAAGAGATGCATGCAAGGCGTCGCTGCTAGGTGGCCCGACGAATTGCACCCGGATGGGTCTGGACGGTGGCATTACCAATTGCAACGTTTTGAATTGCATTGAGCCCTTCCAAGTGGAGCAGTGGGAACAGATTTTGGGATTGCCACGAGGTGTTTTTTTCCAACTGTGGGTTCGTGCTCCATTACAATAATTATGTGTTTGGGTATAGTTCTCGGGTACTTCTTGCTATTTAATTTGTCAACCATGCGTGGGTCAGATGCGTACAGGGCCAGCCGAGCCAGGGCCGCAGCACGTGTTGATGTTCCGTTCTTTCCTGAGGTCAACTTGGGCTCACATGCAGGCAAACAAGACCATTGGATGCGCCTGTGACAAGGCCCTGGAGAAGCTGAAGGAATGCATTTATGGCCACCATGGATGCGACGCCCGGCATCGCATCACGTGATGGCCTGATAGACGTTGATATGAAAGCGCGGTAGAGTCGAGGCGTCCCTGTGCGACGGCCGTCTTTGAGAGAGAGAGAGAGATGTTGAGGTATCATATGTTTGTTGTTCTTTTACCATCAATGTCCCAATCGTTGACAGTCTTCTTGTATTAGGCGTGTGACCATGTTTGACCGCAAGGATACATTTCAAAGCATTTCAAGTATGTTTTTATTAATTTATGCGATCTCCCTTGCAGCCTGTCTTGCACCCTTTTTCACACTCAGGAGCTAGGCCGGGCGGCGGAAGCCTCGCTGGAGGAGATCCTGCGGGGTGAGCCCATCAGAGCAGAGTTCCAGGAGACATGGCTGTGGGAATGGGCGATGTCCTTTTGTCACGTGGAATGGTCTGGAAGTAGCTGGGGCATTCACCAAAACATGCACACACACACATATATATATATAAAACAATATTATAGCATATGCTATCTACATAAACATGTATGCATGTATGTGTATATGTGTATTTATAAATGTAAGTAAACACTTTGTATTTCTAGAAGCCATAGGGAGTAAAGGCTTATACATGGATCCGTTCGTCACTTGTCAGTCGAATCTGGCCCAGATGAGCCAGATGAATTTGGGGAGCTTCCCAAATGACCGATGCCTTTTGCATTTTGTTGCATAGCTGGATGATGTAAGGACCTCCTTGGAGGTTGGCAGGGGTGATTCTTGTACTTCTGCAAGCCTCGTTGCTGAGGATACCCAGCTGAATCTGGAGGAGCGGGAACGACCGTGAACAGAGTTGACCAAGATGGTCAGACTTCGTGAAGGGGAACCCCCAACTGCATGTTGGATGTTGGGTACTAGCAATTTTGTATTCATTGAAAAGCATGCATCATACATGCAAAACAGCAATCTATGGGAGGAAGGGAATTCAGAGATTGATATATAGGTTGCTTTTTGCGTGACCCATATGAACTGGAGGTCTCTGTCCATAGCGCTGGAAGCAATGTGTTTGTGTGTGTGCGTGTTATGACTCCAAACTGGACCTGTGTGGGCCTTGGATGATCCTGTGCAGCTGCTTTTTTGGGAGGGGATGGCCCAAGAAACCAGCGTCGCAGGAATCCAGGTCATGCAGCATGATCATTAGAATTCAACATCTTTCTGATATCATTTGCAATGATCAAAGAGTATCATCATCTCCATCGTGGGCAGAAACCAACAGAGTGGCATCGTCACACGAATCCAAATGATCAACGCGCGAATCATCGTGTGACTGTGATGAGAGACGAACGCGCGAGTATCATCATCACCGAATGACACCGTTTACACCTACCCGAGTCAACGGAACTATGGACACATCACCCAAGGCGAGAACGATTTTTTTCAAGTCCGCAACATCAAGCTGAGATCCGACTGCTGTGTGGGACGAAAGATCTACAACTGAGTCTGACATCAGCACTGCACCATTCTGCACCCTTTTGCTCCCAAAGAATGTGAAACCTCCCCTCATTCACGCTGGTTTGATCTGGTTTGGACCTCTCATGACCTCTTCCGTGTCCAGGAGGCGGTGGAAGAATGCACCATCAAGGCAAAGGAGTGGACGTGGCAGTGATGAGAATGATATGAATTCTGAGAGGATTTGAATTCGGTTGGGTGATACGCTCCATCCGCTTGGAGGTCATCGCGGTCATATATAGGTTGGAGGCCGACCTAGGGACCGTTCCTCCAAGCAGCAAGCATCTATACCAGGACCTTCCAAGAGGTGTCTATAGATAGCCTCTTAGAGGTTCAGTGGTGCCCAAACACCACCGGATCTTGGAAGGTCCTGGTATAGAGGCATGTCATAACGGGCCGACCGAGCCAGCTCCTTCGATCTTTGAATCTCTGAAGACGAACATGGCCAGGGCTGTGGAGGCTCAGAGGCTCACGTGACAGGCCGTAAACGGAGGCCTTACTTGAGTGTGAATTGGACATCATCGTTTTTGGGAAGGATATTGTGGCAGGTCCTGCGGGGAATGAACGTGTTCATTTTGGGGGGGAACCAAAGTGCAGGGTACCTTATAAAATCACCACCCGGCAGCCCAAATGATCTTTAGATTTTTGATCCACACACATGCCTTCCCAGAAGGTACTTGGACCCTCCAAACCTTCCAAACCTATATAAAAGATATAAAAGATCATATCATACAAAGTGTCTCCACTCTCACCTCAGAGGCTATGCGGATCCGGGTTTGGGAGGAGCTTGTGAAGAGTTCTCCCATTTTCTTCTTCGGCTGCACTGGGCATGGGAAGTCCAGGCTCATCAACAGCCGCTGGGATGTTCGGGTTTCGGGCCGAATCGGCACAGATTCATAGATTGGTTTCATGACTGAAACATCGCTTTGATGCTGTACTTCCTTAATGGTTACTGTATCCTATGTTATCCTACTGAGTTCATTTCATTGCGAATATGTTGAGTGATGTGTTTTTGTTGCTATGGCTCAACTCATGGGGGCGTGGCTGTGGATGGTGTTCTTTTGCTGTAGCAGCATCACATATGTCCAGCATGAGGTCTAAGTCTACGTTTCTGCCCAGCCATGATGTTAATCGCCATCAGGAACCTCTGGTATAGACGGGCAGCCTGTAACTGGTCCGGGATTGAATCGTTCAATCTGACACTCCCTGGAATCCTCCATGCCAGCGCCATGCTGGCCATGCCCATCCACAAACGACGAGTGGCACCGTACGAGCACCCGGTGGAATACATCGGTTCAACTACTCGTCCCGCACCATGGATGGTCGTTTTCGGGTTCCACTCGGCAGCGAATTCGTGTGTTTTATCTTGTATGACCAACTCCGATAACATGAGGTCAAACGTAGGAATACTTGAACTGCTATCCCCCAAAGGTGGTTTATATGGATGCCCGGATCAAAGCCATCTTTGGGTTTGTGCCACCCACTCTGAAACCATTGCATGTGCGTGTGTTTTACTTATTTTTAATCATGTATAGAATGTACACTATAGTCTCATCCGACCAGGTGTATAAGTTGATGGCTCAATACTTAAAGGTGTATATGTTGATGGCTGTCACCGCCTTGAAATAGTATGCATCGACACCGCTCTCCGACACCGCGCTCCGACGCTTTGCACCGAGGCCTGCTCCAGTCGCTGGGCTCCAGCGCCCGCTGCGAGGAAGGCGATGGCGGACGCTGCACGCGGAGGGTCCAAGGCTACGAGGTCCGCCGGGCGTGGCGGAATATGTTTTTGATTTGTATCGGAACTCCATGTATAATGTATGGTATGCACGGACCTATCTTTGATCTGCCATACTACCTGCAGGGCTCAGGGTGAGGTCGAAATTTGCATTCACAAGCCATGCCATTAACTTTCATGCTTGGGATGAGGGACGTACACCCAAACACTCCATTACGGACCTCATGTCGGGGTTTGCACAAAAAAGCACTCCATGAGGTCGTTCGCACCAAGTTTTACTGGGTCCTTGGACTGGTGGGGTCATGCAGCATGTAGACTCTCAAGGCTCAAAGCCCTCCCACATGATGAATTCTGTTTTTAAACAATGAACATGGGACTTCGGGTGTTTGCTCATCCAGAATCTACCACCACATGTGACTCCACCGAACCTCCGGTGGAGTCACACAGCAGTCGGTCTCGCCGAA